TCAGGTATAGAAACCAATCAGCCTCTAACCTCAGCTTGTTCAATTAAGCTTTGACAATAAAACCTGGAAGCTGATTGGTTTCTATGCCCAAGTGAGCTTGATTTTGCACTCTTTAGTTTTAGTAAATAAGCCCCACAGTGTAGTACAAGTCATGGTAATTAATAGGGGAAAGATAATCTGCTGAAAGACCACAGGCAATCCTGATGACTAGCCCTCTGCTTTTATGGGCACAGCTTTCGGAGTTCAGTTCCTCTTTAAGTTTATTAAACTGGGAGTTTCATCACTGTGATATAACTTGCATGGGACTAGAAGGTCAGTATCAGAAGGAGAACTTATAAAAATCAGAACTTATAAAAATCAGGTTATTTACCAGATGCTATTTTTGGGGGCTTTTAGAATACTTTAATTACTCCAGTGAACATACCTAAAGGATTTGTCAACTTAGGTCTTTCGACCCATAGAAGAATGACATGGACTGTGTGACATGGGTTTTAAATGGCCAGAGTGACCAATTTATTAACCATAAATAATAAATAAATAAAACAATTAAAAAATGCAATTCTACCAATGCAACCAGCAAGGGGTTTTTGGGTGTCCTTAAGGCCCAATTTTTACCTAGAATCTTCCATGTCCTCAGCCGTGCCCCAACCGACTCAAAGACATTACTACCTCAACCAATCTTCGATTTTCCCCCCAAGGGACCTAGCTCCTGGGAGAATCACCAATAACATATCAAGTTGAAGCACCATACCCTAGATGGGCCCCACAATTTTGTAACAATGTCAATGGTCACTGACTCCCCCAAAAGACCCCCTGACCCGCTAAGCTGCTGTGACAAGTAATCACAGAAATATAATATATGGTATTGGTTGTTTCTTTTCGTTCTTTTTTTCTTTTTCTTTTATTAGTGATAAGGTCCGAAACACAAAATGTGTTACACAACCCAGAACAACCTCACTAACCCCAGACACCAGGGCAGGTGGGAAGGAAGTTTCTTCTTTTTGAATGAATATGCAAATGGTCCTGCATGGACCTCCTTGCAGCTGAACCCTGCCCCTCTTGCCTACAGCTTCCAATCAGGTAAGTCCACTCCGACTCCCCTTTAACTAACATAGCTGACCCTTCCCTGATCTTGTTCTTCTCTTAGTCATGCAGACCCTTCGTACATTCTCTCTTCTTCGGGTCTCACTGTATAACAATAGAGAAGTTTCTAGTGCAGGGGTGGGCTCAGCACAAAGTATACAAACAAGGACTTTTGCTGTCCAGCCAGCTCTGGACATGGTCTGTTCACTTCACAGCCTCCAGCATACAACCATCACTGTCTGTCGTAACTTATCTTCCCAACTCAGAACCAACCCCACCTTTTTTTACCATGACCTGTACCATTACCTTGAAAACTAAGATTGCAGTGGTGATGGCCAGGGAACCCATACACTCTTTCCCTGGCTAGACTCCAGAGGCCTACAGTAGCAGAGGTTCTGCTAGATTTAGTTTTCCCTTGGGTCTTTTCAAACATGAAGTGCCACAGCTTTGCTATAAGGTAAATGTCATCCAAGAAGATATCCTGCGGGTTACCGTGCATAGTAATAGTAGAACCTACTTACTTAGCACTAATTGTGAAATGTTCAGAACTGTATTGGTAGACATCAAACATAGCAAGAGTCTAATTATTTTTAAGATGATCAAAGACATAATTTATCACTAACCATTGTTAAGATCCTGCCAGACTGCAATATCTTAGTCACTGCTTTGGAATACTTTACCACAGATATATATTAAAAATAATTTAAAATGAGGTGAGTAATTTACTGTAGATATTCAAAATTACATTGGTAATTGCAAGCCAGGTTTAAATAAGTTCACCCTTATGTAGTATTGCGACCTAGATAAAGATCAGATCACATATTAAGAGCTATTAATGCCTATACCTCCCAAAATTTTAGGGTTATCTGACAACTGAACATGTTCTGGACTGTCCTTGAACAGCTGTAGAAATTTGTAAAACTGCATCCAAATACAATACATCAGGGGTGATGAAGAACTTTCAACATTCAAAACAATGACAGTATAAAAATGCTTAGAAACATTTGATGAACATGATACAGTGTGTAAGTGCTGTACTGTGAAATGTATCAGAGGTTTTGTGAACCCAACAAGCTCATACTGATACATGGTACCAAGGGTAAAAACAGGTCAAAAATATTTTTGACGGCTGGCTCACACCAGATGCATTTCAGTGCATTTTAATCTGCATCAAAAATGCATGCACAGTGTTTTCCATGTATTCCAATGGACCTAGTCCACATCAGTGCATTCCAGTGCAGTCAACAAAAGTAAAGCATGATGCTTTTTTTCTGTATGGAACGCATCTCGAATATGGCAAAGTGCATTAGAACTGCACTGGAAGGCATGTAAATGCACCAGAAAAAACACCAGAATGCACATGTCCTGAATTGAGAAGAAGAGAAAATGCTTTAAAACTGCACACGCAGAAATGCATCCGAAAAGCAGAAATTGGCATGTGAACGTCCCTAAAACTTGGGGAATGCAATAAAGGGCATGTAAACGAAGCCTAACTTTAACAAATGGAACAGGAACGGAACACTGAATGCCGATATTTCTTATATGATATGTACATTTCATTTTTTAGGTTACAATATATTCAGCAGAGGAAAATATAACGAAAGCCATCAAGCAACTATACCAAATTTTGCTTCTCATAGAGAAAATTTTCTTTCTTGACATTACGTAGCAGTTGTTCTCCCTGGATCAAACAACTGTTTTCATTTATTTTTTAATTGGTAGGGGTGCTTTAACCACTTGCCCTCCAGAGGATTTACCCCCCCCTTCCTGATCAGGACATTTTTTGCATTACTTTAACTGACAATTACGCGGTCATGCAACACCGCACCCAAATTAAATTTACGTCCTTTTTTCCCGCGAATAGAGCATTCTTTCAGTGGTATTTGATCACCTGTGCATTTTTTATTTTGTGCGCTATAAAAAAAAAGCATATATTTTTTACTTTTTGCTTTTAAACATGTCCAGTAAAAAAATTTAAAAAATCAAATTTCTGCATAAATTTAGGCCAAAATGTATTCTGCTACATGTCTTTGCTAAAACAAAATCCCAATACATGTAAATTAATTGGTTTACATGAAAGTTATAGCATTTACAAATGGTGGTATATATAGTGGGATTTTTTTTTTTTACTAGTAATGGTGGAGAGATCAGTGACCTATAGCGGGACTGTGGCATTCTGACACTGGGGGGAACTGACTTGGTGTCACAGACATCCCCAGTGACACCAATACAGTGATCAGTGCTAATAAAAAGCATTGACACTGTACTAATGGCACTGGGCAGGAAAGGGTTAACATGTGGGGTGATCAAAGGGCAATCAAAGGGCTAACAGTGTGCTGTGTGCTTTTTTACTAGGGGCTATGTCTGTGTGCTTCACTGTAAGCACACTACTTTGCATGGCTGTGCAGCCATGCAAAGCAGTGTGCAGGCGCTGACAGGAGAGAGAATTGTTTTGTTTACAAGCAGTTCTCCCCCCCCCCCCATTGGAGATGCTTGGCAATTATCAAGCACTGGCGAGTAATTACCGGCTTGGACCCAGTGTTTGACAGCCACGGCTGGAGGCATGGGTAGGGCGCAGGCACGCCCCCTATCAGAAAATGCGGAATCACATATATGTAAGTGATTTTGCCGCCCTGTAGCTGTACTTCTGATATATGGCAGATGGGAAGTGGTTAACTAGCATCATGTGCAGTTGATACAGTAGGTCGCTCATTTGAACTAGCTATAAAGGAAACCGAGTAAATACGTAACGAGCAATGTTGTTGCTTTACATTTCTGAATGAAGCTCCATAGGCTAGGCTCATACTACTGCGGCTGCGATTTGATCCTATTTTTAGTGCAATTAATGTAGCGCACCTTGATTGCATTTTGAATGTGGTTTGCATATTTTATGGGGCCAAAATTGTACTGGAACTGCACCAAAGTAGGGAAGGACCCTTTTCCAAAATTGCGCCGTGTTGTCCTGCATTGATGTAAATGGGCATAATTTAAATCAATGGGATTTTCGCTGTCATGTGATTCTGTGCTACTCAAGACATATCTGAAATCCCACTAGTGCAAAGCAGGCCCAAACATTGATCAGAAGTTCCATTTTACACAGAAATGTCTGCAGCCACTGCTGTAATAGAGAGCCTTCCTGTCATTTTGACAGCAGGGATTTGCTGATAAGAGTGGTGGGGGGAGCATTAAAGTTTTTCCTGGCATGTGGTGCACAGCCAATGTTTACTTCTTTTTAAAGGTGCCATCCCATGGAGTTTTCATCTTCAACCTACTATTTATTGGGGAAAGTCTGAAAAAATATGCAGGCCAGGCAGGCCAGGCCAGGCCAGTTTGAACAGTTCTTTGGCTGCATGCTTGTTACAGGTCAAGTGACTCAATCAGTAGATACAGATGGAGCAAAATGGCAACCTTAGAGCTTGTACCTTTAAAATCAAGCCTAGAATAGGAGATATCATATTTCTAGCCTAACAGGTTCTCTTAACTACTTGCTCTATGTGAGGTAACTTAGGGATTGAATTTCGTTCATATTTTGTCAGCTTCAGGCTTGTAATTACATTGCATTTGTCATGCTCCCAACTATGTACCGAACGTTCTGTTTACCTGTAAAATGTACCTAGTTTCCCACTGAAAATCAATATTCACAGCACTCCTAGGTCAGACTGTATGGCACAGCCGCCTGATGTTTGATAAAATGCTGAATTCACCTTCAGAAGGAAGAAGTATTTGCACAAGTTCTGGATGTCGCTTCAAAAAATGATTTATATTAAAAATTTACTTTTGCACAAAGTATTGTTTAAATGCATGTCAGGTTTTCATTTCTAGAAATCCCCTCTGCACACTGCTAATTACCCTTTCCAGCAAACATTGCAATTAAAAATAGGGATTTTTAGTTCACATATATTGAGATACATGTTTGACCACCTCCCACCCCCCATATAAGCAATGACGGGCACAAGGTGGTTCTCTCGTTCTGGAAGGGCGTCAGACGTCCTCCCACTCTAACTGCGCTTGCACGGCGATCTGTGGTGCACTGTGTCCCTCGGGCACAGCGGATCACCGATCAACGGAAAGAGCCGAAGATGTCGGCTTGGTCATGTGATCAGCTGTGTCCAATCACAGCTGATCGCATGTAAATAGAGAAATGCCGGTTATCGTCATTTCTCTCCACTCGAGCTGTCACGCTGACAGTTTGAGAGGAGAGCCAGTGATCGGCATTCCTCAGAGGGGACATGTACACTGATCATCAGGGCACTGATGATCAGTGTGCCCTGATGATCAGTGTAGCTCCAACAGTGCCACCTGTCAGTGTCCATCAGTGCCAGCTGTCAGTGCTCATCAGTGCCACCTGCCAGTGCCCATCAGTGCCACATTAATGCCGCATATCAGTGCCTACCAGTGCACATCAATGCCACATATCAGTGCCCATCTGAGCTGCCTTTCAGCGTCACCTATCAGTGCCAGTCAGTGCCACCTATCAGTGCTGCCAATCAGTGCCACCTATCAGTGCCAGTCAGTGCCACCTATCAGTGCTGCCAAATAGGGCCACCTATCAGTGCCAGTCAGTGACGCCTATCAGTGCCAGTCAGCGTCGCCTATCAGTGTGCATCAGTGCCACCTATCAGTGCCCATCAGTGTTACCTATCAATGCCGCCTAACAGTACCAGTCAGTGCCGCCTAACAGTGCCAGTCAGTGCCGCCTAACAGTGCCAGTCAGTGCCGCCTATCAGTGCCATATATGAGTGCTGCCTTTCAGTGCCCATCAGTGATGCCTGTCAATGCCCATCAGTGCCACCTACCAGTGTCTCCTCATCAGTGCCCATCAGTGCAGCCTATCAGTGCCCATCACTGCAGCCTCATTAGCGCACATCAGTGAAGGAGAAAAATCACTTATTTACAAAATTTTATAACAAAAACTAAGAAAAAACTTTTTTTTTTTCCAAAATTTTCAGGAGTTTGGTTTGTTTAGCAAAAAATAAAAAACCCAGAGGTGATTAAATACCTCCAAAAGAAAGCTCCATCTGTCTCAAAAAATGATAAAAATTTCATATGGGTACAGTGTTGCATGACCACGCAATTGTCATTCAAAGTATGACAGCGATGAAAGCTGACAATTGGCCTGGGCAGGAAGGGGGTATAAGTGCCCTTTAGGCTAGTGGTTAAGCTGGCCAACTGCATCAAGGTAATCCCTCTATGGCCAGTCCTAGGGGCTCATGCACACTGCAGCTGATAAACTCATGTTTAGGAGCTGTTCAGCGTTTTTTCAGCAGCCCCTGAACTCACTCTCATGTTTTCCTATGTGTCCGTGTACACATCTTCGTTTACAGTCGTTTACAGGCACTTGAGTTTACAGTAGTTTTTTTGAACGCAGAAAACTTGTGTTCAGCAGTAGATTTTATCAGCGTTTCAGACGCAAAACGCTTGTAAACGCGTGTAAACGTGGCTAACCGCGTTTATAAGCATTTGCGGTTGAAATTTTTTTTTAACTCTTCCATTTCCAGATGATGTCCAGAGCCTTTTTTCATCATGAAAAATGCATGCAAAGTATTTTCCTAGTACTCAAATGGACCTGGTAAACCATACTTTGAGGTTTTTGCATTAAAAAAAAAATAAGTTAGACACTGCTGCAATAATTTCTGCACAGAAATGAGCTGGAACACATCCAAACACCACAAAAAAAAAAAAAGACAGCTAATCTCAACAAATATTGCTCTCTCTGCTTCTGCTCTCCCTATTTCTCTCAAATATGTCTGAAATAGTTAATTTTTTACTGTTTTTCAGTGCATTCTGGGCATTTAGAAAGGTCTCCTGAGGTTATCTTTAAAAAACGCTTCTAAACGCAAACGCTCATAAATGCAGTATGCAAATGGGACTAAACAGACGTTTTTTAATCTACGTTTTCCAGCAGTCAGTTTCCATCATTCAGAAGTGTCCCGTGTACATGGGACCTTAGGACAGGTTTTAATTTCTGTCCTTCTTTTACTGTTCTACAAGTAGTGCCATGTTTTTTGTCTGTGTCTCCATTATGTCTCTCGTCCATATAGGAAGTGTGGAGAAATCTTCCTAGTAGGAACACAGGACAATAAAACCTGTAAGAAGTTCTAACCCGTTCTGACTGTATCCAACACAAAATAAATTTTGTCTGGAATTGAGCTTTAATTTATATTAAACTCCCAGGCCAATTCTGACATTCCTCTCCTAGGTGTAAAAATCAGCATTTTTTTGGTAGAACATTATTTAGAATCTGCACACATTATATCTATTTTTTAAGCAGCGGTCCTAAAGAATGTTGCAATTTTTTATGTCACACAGTATTTGTGCAGCGGTTTTTCAAACACAATTTTTTTAAACTAAATCACAATATAATACCAAATTGTTCGGTAAAATATAAATGATGTTATGCCACATAAATAGATACCTAACATGTCACGTTTTAAAATTGTGCATGCTCATGGAATGGCATTAAACTATGGTACTTAAAAATCTCCATAGGCGATGCTTTAAAAGTCTTTACAGGTTACCAGTTTATAGTTACACAGGAGGTCTGGTGCTAGAATTATTGCTCTTGCTAAAACGTTCGCAGCGATACCTACATATTTTTACACTGTCTCTTGATTTTTTTTTAATCACTTTTATGGCTATCACATGGGATGAACAATATTACTTGTGGTAGCTGGAGCAATAACAGGTCTTCTTTATGGAGAGATCTGGGTCTCTTAGGTGTCCGTTTATGAACCAGCGATAAATGATCGCTGCTCAGTTCTCCAGCATTCTCGGAGAACACAGTTCTCCTGTGAATGCCTTTTATGAAGCAGTTCTCTGAACGAAGGGAGAATGGTCTCTAAACACTGTAGAACAGTCTACAAATGGTGGAAAATGGCTGATTTTACTATAATCTCGCGAGATTAAAGTAAAAGATCAATTTACTAAACAGAGGTAAATTATCTCTGCTTAGTTTGCGGTCCCTCCGATTCTCCAGCTCTGGGCTGGAGAATCTGGAGGGAGAACACAGATCGCCAGTGAAGGGCTGAACATGTTCTCCTCTGATCTCCTGCGTGTCATAAACTGTGAATGACCAGAGAATAGCTGTGATCCTCTGAATCGCAGCTATTCTCTGTGTCATAAACGGACACCTTAGACTCCAGATCTTTCCTCTGGCCTTCAAAGCATCAGATGAAACCCAGATTGGTTTGATCTGATGTTTTTACAGGCCGGTAACGGTCTGTTTACATTAGGCCGAAACCAAAAGTGACAAAATGCTTGTCACTTCTGGTTTCTTAGACCATAGAGATGATGGGGGACATCCAGTCCTCTGACATCTCTATGGTCAGCCGGCAGAACTGAAGTAACCTTTATTCAGCATCATCTAAAAAAAAAAAAGATACTGGGGTCAAGGCTGCAGCTGCAGCCATGACCTGGCTATACCCACTCAAACCTGAGGATGTACAGCTGATTTAATCACTTAGTCTAGGGTCACACCTATGCAGGTTGTGTTTGAGCTGTTTCTGCATTGCATTTTGCATTTTTGCACTTGTGTTTGTGACTAATTTCTTTACGTCTTTTTGATGCGTTTTGCGTTTTTAAATTTTGAAAAAAAATTTTTCTTGTTGCTAGGCAGATTTAAAATGCAAAATACATCAAAAACACGGCAAAAACACAGCAAAAACACAATGCATGCTTTTCTGCAGCATTTTCATTGAAGTCTATAGAAACAAAAACACAACTTTTTGCGTTCAAAAAAAGTCCCTGACCCTTTCCAAAAAACACACCGGGTGAAAACACGGAGATGTGAACCTGTCCCATAGGAAATTATGTTAAATAGACTGTACTGCGTTTCTGCAAAACGCAAAATGCTGCAGAAAATGCGTAAGTGTGAACCTAGGGTTACTAAGTATACAGTTTCTTTCACTGTCTATGTTCCAGTTTAACCACTTCATGTACAGGGCAATTTTTAAATTTTTCACACACGTGCATTTTTTTCTATAAAATTACATAGAACTCCCAAACATTATATATTTTCCGAAAGCCAAGGCCCTGGAAAAGAAAATGGTGGCCATTTTTAGGTCACAGGATATTTGCGCACTGTTTACCATATTTTTAGGAAACAAATACACTAAAATAAATTTTAGAGCACACTAACATAACATAGCACCCATTGTTTGGTAAAATATAAAATGTGGTTGCGTTGAGTAAATAGATACCAAACATTTCTAGACTCATAGTTGCGTGAAATGACAAATACAATTGAGTACTGTCCGTGATACTTTTTTTTTTTTTGGACGGACAATACTCAATTGTTTCTGTCGCAAGTGCACTAATTCGGCTACAATCACCTCAAGTGAAATGACAACAAACCAAGGTACCCAAAATGTTTAATAGGTGATGCTTTAAAAGCCTTTACAGGCTATCAAATTAGATTGGGTGTGTCAGAGCTCCCAGGTGTGACCAGAGGTGTGTGACTGACGCAGGGAAACGCAGACTTCAGATATGTGATAAACAATATAATTTATTAACACTAACCATACAAACATAAACGCAGTGCAATACTAAAACATAATACAGTGCAAACAAACCAAACCAACCACCCACAGATAACAGTACATACAAGCAAGCGTCGTCAGGCAGGCCGGGTCAATATCAATAGGGCAGGTAGGTACAGGGGGAGCAAGCGGAGATGGGTCGGGGTCACAGGCCAGGTTCAGCAGGTAGCTAGCAGCGTAGTACAGAGGGTCAGGCAGAGGGATGGTCAGGGTCACAAGCCAGGGATCAGAACAGGTAGCAAGCAGCGTGGTACAGAGGGTCAGGCAGAGGGATGGTCAGGAGCGAGCCAGGATCAGAGCAGGAGAAGTCAGCAGCGGTTCAGATCAGGCAGGGTCAGCAAAGGAACAGAAACAGGATGCAGGACAGATACAGGGCCCAGGACAAACACAACACCAAGGCAGAGTCTGTGGGTCTGGCCATCCCTTAAATACCCCAGCATAAACAGTTCCAGGTGTTAGCTGACTGAAAGGTTGAGTCTCTGATTGCTGGGAGCACCCGCTGGCCAGCCCTGGTACTGCAGATCAAAAGGCAGGTGAGTCCCACCATTGCTGGCCAGTCCATTCCTGACAGGGTGTTAGTTCACACTGATACACCACATCACAATAGCACTCCATTTATGCGAACAGCTGCGGATGTCTATTTTAATTTAGCAACACCCAAAAAATGGTTTGCAGAATGCAGTGCAATTGGTTGAATTGTTTCATATATGAGTGTGAACAAACATGCTATCTGATTCCAGTGCGAAAAAAGGTGCATGCACCTTTCCTATGGGTGCAATGTGATTTCTGGTGAGATATGAGCAATACAAGATGAATGGCTCAAATCACACTGCAAAGAATCCCATGTGATTTGAACAAGAAGGCGGTGAATTTCCTGTCCGAATCACTTGAGGTTTCCCACACCGCAATCATGTGAACTGGCACTTAATCATGAATTATGATCCTAGAATTTTTGCTTTTACTTCAACGTTTACCCACGTGTTGTGAAAAAACTGTTTACATACAAGTGCAGGACCTAATAACACGCTTGCATTTGCATGCATGTATGGAGGAACAGGTGTACTTTAATTTTTTTTAGTATTTTTACTTATTTTATTAAAATGTAAATGTTTTACACTTTTTTTTCATTTAATTGTATTGTTATTACAAGGCCCCTATGTGATATCATGTCAAATGACAGGTACTCTTTATGCAGACAGTCTGTTTAAACCCTGATGTCTACCCTGCCCTCCACTGCAGCTAATAAAGCACAAACTGTGCTTGATTAGCTGTTTCCTCAGCTACAATAGCCTAGGAATTACAGCTCTGAAACCAGAAGTGACAAAATCCTCGTCGCCTCAGTGTTTGTTGGTCACAGAGGAGACCGGGGATCAAATGTTCCTCCATCTCCTCTGCATGTAACCATTTCGGCAAGCTCCCCAGAGGAGTAGAGTTGAGGGGGTCTTTTCACTATTGTAAAGTGATTGGGCTGCAGCTATGAGCTTGTATTAACCAGTTCAAATCCAGGACAGTTTAAAATGGCCTAAGGATGGGAAGTGATTCAGCTGGAGCCATGACCACTTCCCCAGGTTTCCTGTTTCAGGGTGGCTCATTTTGTTCTTGCAGCATCCTATGAAGCCATCCTTGCATGCAGGTAATAGCACTGTGTCTCCCTATGTGTAGCACTACCCCCTTAGGAGTCGCTGAGTTTTGGATCCCCCTACAGCTCTGCACAGCCAAACATGCATTTTCTTCCACATCTGCCCACTGGAGACTGTAAACAGTCCTCAAGCTTGGTTTTATGATTTTATTAAAGGGGTTTATAACGTGGATGGGATAGAGGGAAGTATGGGATGCCCAAGGAAACTGTGAACTATGAGGACAAACCTCATAGCAACTCTGTACAAGTCAGTGAATAAAAAGTCTCTCCTTTAAAGAGCTCTCCAGCTCTCTGGTGTACCTCCTCAGACCCCAGGTGAATCCTTCTCTTCACCCAGCTGCTCGAGGGTATCCCTGGGCAAGAGGACCCAGAAACTGCCAACTTAAGAAACAATCCTAGATGAGGAGCTAGCTGGGTTCCTTACCTGACTTTCCTCTCCCCTTATATGGCCCAGGGGTTTATGGTTACTCACACTGTCCTTCCTGATAGCTCAATGGGTTGGTGGCTGCCTTAAGACCTTTCGTTGGGTTCCTTCCCTACTGTTCAGGCTGTCCTTCCTGGAAGACAGTGGTGCAGTGGACACTCCCTTGTCCAGCACCAGCTCATAGGTAGGCCCCATCCCTGGGGTCCCTCCCAGGCTCCACACTCCAGCCTTCACTCCATTTTCTACCCAAAACTACTCCCCTGCTGATGAGGCTCTTTCATACTTAAGGGTTGTCCTGGTCCCATGCCAAGCCTCCTGCTTAGGGAATGGCCAAAATCCCTTAACTATGCAGATTAGCCCCTCCTCACCCCCACCCACTGCCTTCTAGAAACTCCTCCAGCTTCTAGAGCAGAGGATGTATCAGGGAACTGACCTGCAGAGCCCTCAGCCCTGACTTAAAATAACCTGGCTGACTCACACCCAGGCTAACTCAATCCAAGCTGCTACTCAGCCTCTAGCTAAAAACCTAACTAGCTCCCCCTAGCTAAACTTGAGGGGTGCTAAACACAGTATGTGCTTCAATAGAAAAACACAGGGTTGTAGCTTTGGATAGCAAAGATCTACCCTGCTTTTTCCTCATTCTCCTTTCCCCTCCTTTCTGAAGGCTACACTTTCTACTGTTTACTTTTTCCTACGAAGACTAGAAATTCAGGGAAGCCTCACTGAGGAGCCAGCAGCATTGAAAGCTGTGAATTAAAAGTGCTAGGCTAAGAAAAGTAACAAATAGTTTACTTGGAAATGCTTGTTTGTTGTGTTCAATGTGGTAAACTAAAAAATGCTGAGGGGTTAATACTACTACAGAATACCAGAGCATATGCAAGTGCTATAACAGTCAGATGTTATTTATGTTTACAATCAGTTGGTGATTTTCAAAAGGATGAACTTTTAGTTTTAGTCCAGTGGCTTTTTTTTAGAATGTTCTCTAAATGGCTCTAATGCTGGACTGTCACTGAAAATCTGAATGTTGGAGGAACTGTCACGTTCATCACTTGACTTTATCACTTGACAGAAACCTATACTGAGAGAAGCATTTGGTTTGCCATTGCTGATCACCTTCTGAAGTGTTACCTGTCTCTGATCTCCAGAGTTAGTGACCCAGAACATGCTTGCAGCAAGTGAAATGCTGATCTGCATGCTTATTCGAAGACAGTGACTCATAAAGTACTGAAACCTGAGCCTTCATGCACATGGTGAGTTTAAAAAAGCTCCTCTCAATGCCAGAAAATGCGGCAGTTTAGCAGCGTTTTGCACATGCGTTTAGGTGTATTTGGGTGCTTTACCTTTTACAAAGCAATTTTTCACAAACGCTCCAATCTGATAATTTTTCACACCCAAATGCCCACAATGCATTGGAAAAAGATTATTTATTACATTTTTGGCACCGTTTTACTGAGGCGAGAGAGAGAGCGAGAGAGAGCAGACAATGTTTAGCAGGGAGCTAGCTATCTATGTTTCTAGGCCACATTTCATGGACCCTGTCATGAAAAAAATTGATGGAGCAATTCTACTTCTTTTGCTGCGGAGAGAGCAGTGACAGAGAGAATTGGATAAGATGAGCAGTCCTCTTTGGTACTGAACTAATTTCTTGATGTCTCAGCAGTTATCCTCGGGATACTTCGCCAACATATTTGTAGAGCTGCGGAATTATCCTGAAAAATTCTAAAATTCTACAACATACCAAGTATGTCTATGGACACCTTTGATGAGCATCTGGAGAGGCTGCAACCTGACTGACTCACATGGACATCCAGATGAGGAATATCTCCTTATGACACTCAGGTATGTTATTATGCTAATATCACTTTTTTATTTATGTGTGCATATAATTTTTAAAAAAATATTTAAAACATTTTTTTCATTACTTTTTATGTATTCATTTTTTTTTAACTTTTTTCAAATGGTAACTTATTAACATTTTTTGAACATTTTTTTACATTATTTTTTACCTCTATTCTTTTTCTTTTCTTTTTTTTTGTGCTACTTTATCCATTTTACCCTCACTTTTTATTTTTTTTTTACCATTTTTTTCTGTGTTTATTTTTTTCATTTCATACATTATGTATATTTATTGATGATAATATTTTTTTCTAGGTTTCTGACAACAGGACAAATGTTTTCTTCCTTACACCATTACTTCCTTATGGTTTTGTCCACGGTGGCAAAAATGACCTGTGAAACTTGCCACACAAGATGTGGGTAGAGATTACAATAGAATTTTGGGAGAAGACTTGCATCGAAGCACTCAATGGCAAACATGTCAGGGTGAAAAATAAAAGTCCAGCACTATTTCATTTGTAAAAAAATATTTTTCCGTTGTCCTATTGGCATTGGCTGATGCAAACCTCCAGATCATATCCGTTAACGTTGGAGCCTATCGCAGCCAAGGTGATGTACAAATCTTCTGAGAGTCTGTAATGGGGCATCACCTATATGAAGGATGTCTCCAGACTCCCCCAAGCAGGATTCCCCCCTGCACAGCAGAGCCAAGTTTTCAACTGGTCATTGTGGAGGACGAGGCTTTTGGGCTAGCTGAAAATCTAATGCGCAATGTTCATACAATCTAATGTGTATGCATTGAGCCACAGGCAGAAGATATATTTAATTATTGCCTGAGCTATGCCTGTCTAGTGCGCACTTGGCATCTGGACTGTGAAGTAGCATTCACTGCTGTCATGCATGCAGCTGGTTGTAGAAAATGAATTGTTCTCTTTTGTCCTCAGCATAGTTTTGTAATTTTCTTCTTTGGGAGGTAAAGCATACATACTGCTGAGGGATATATGCATTTATCTCACACACATGACAAAAAAAGTGATGTGTAATTTTCTTCTGTGCGAGGTAAGAATACATTCCGCTGGGGGATGTATGCATTTACCCAACACGAAAGAAAAAGCGTGACTTGGGATTTTCCTCTGTGGGATGACAATAAGATTTGCAGTGGAATAACAGCCTACAGGATGTCTCCAACTTACAAGCCGACCTCAATGCACTGTTTAAATGAGGTTTAATGTTGATAAACGTAAGGTTGTGCACTTGGGGGCTAAGAATATGCATGCATCATACATACTAGGGGGAGTACAACTGGGGGAATCAATGGTGGAGAAGGATCTGGGAGTTCTGGTAGATCACAAGCTTAATAATGACATGCAATGCCAAGCTGCGGTTTCTAAAGAGAGCAAAATCCTCTCTTGTATTAAAAGAGGTATAGACTCCAGAGAGAGAGATATCATATTACCCCTGTACAAATCATTAGTAATACCTCATCTGGAATATGCAGTTTAGTTTTGGGCACCAATTCACA